CTCTCTGTAGACGATGCAGTCAGTATATTCTAAGTACCAATTAACAGGGCAAGCGTCTTGTAAAATTAGTATGACAAAATGGAGATATGCAACCAAGACTAAGTTTGTTTTTTATGACTCAAAAGTTTCTTCCTAATAAGAAGTAATTAATTTGTTTAGAACTTCCTTCAACAGTGAAATATTTTATTGTATGATGAGAGGTTTGAAACTCTTTTTCTTTCTTTCTGTGGTATCAGTTCTAAAAGAAGAATATTTAATTTTATTCTTTGTTATTGAGTTAAATCTATTATATATAAAATTCTGAATATAAATATTAATGTTTTGATCTCTATTATTATTATTATTATTATTATTATTATTATTACTAACATTTCATTAAATGTACAATGATGTAAACATCATCACTGTCATTCCTATGACTGCATCTGGTTGTTAGGTCACTGTGCAACTGAGCACCTGACCAGTTCTCTCTACATATATCTGGGTTGAATGTCAGAGAGGTATTCATTCATGTATATCATGTCTTTGGCAGTGAAGTCCATTCCTTTCTGTGCCAAACAACAGCCGATGTCCTCTAACTTGAATGATTACTTTGGTCATGGACATGTAGTTATTGATTCTGTCAGGGGTACCCTCTGACCTGCTGTGGTTGTTGGTTTCAGTCAGTCAAGAAATAACCCACCCCCAAGTGATGCCACATCATCACTGCACCAGCTGCTTACATAGCTATGAAGCCAGTTTACCTGATTGTGTTAAGTGGCCATTAACCCTACAAGAAGGTTCATCTGCCTTTTGACAGGTTTTTCATCATGTTGGGTGTCTAGGTACCTCATCACCAGAAAAGCCTGGTAGTTGAACTGGACTATACAGCAGATAGTACTGAGTTATGTGGTACCAGAAGCACTCCTAGAGTGATAAAACTTGATGTCAACTTAGTAAATTCAAAATCACTACAATCAGTTGACATGAGGTGGAAAGTGTATATTGAATCAATTGCTATGTCTGCAGCTAAGAAAGTTGGTTCACTATGTTGTGCTAGACAATTTTTCTTGCCAGAATCTATCTTATATATTTATAAGTCTACCATTCAGCCAGGCTTTGAATACTGCCTCTATATCTGGTCTTGTGCTCTTGCTGTATATTTAGAGATTCTTGATAAAATCCAAAGAAGATTTTCTGCAATGTTATTGGTTCTGTTCTGGCATCTTGGTTTCAGTTCCTTTCCCACTGCCATAATGTAGCTTCCCCATGCCTTTTCTATAAATACTTTCATGGTAATTGTTCTGATGACCTTTTTGCTATGGTACCTAGACTTTATGAATTTACATGCAATACTAGATTGGCAGCAAGGTCTCATCATTTTACAGTTGAAATGGATAGATGTAACTGTTAGTTCTCTGCTAACAGTTTCATCTATTGCTCTTCTCACTTGAGGAACTCTTTTCTGGCTTCTTGCTTCCCAGTCAACTTTGATCTTCAAAAATTTAAATGCAATGTCAATTGGTATCTTTTGCCTTCTTAATTCTTGTTTCTTTTATTGTTCTCTCTCCTTAATAGCAGTTTTTCTCATATTCTCTTACACACAATAACCCCATTGTGTCCTTTATTGCTTTGGTTGGGGTGAAATAATGCCATTATGTCACAATGGGTTTCTGTGAATGAAAGAGAACGAGAAAACTTTAGAAGGAACCAGAAACCCAATAAGGAATAAAATTCTACTTCTGTTCAAAAGATAGAGAAGGAATGTGAACTGGGCAATTATTAATGTAACTATTTAGACATATCCTTTTATAAATTAGGAATACATCACTGGAACTTGTTTTGCACATTACTTTCACCTGAACACAAGATTTATATAATGATAAAGACCAAAGTGTTTCAAAGTTAATTAACAAGTTTTGAGCTTAATACTCTGTATAATAATAACAGTTCTTAGAAAATAGATTTGATACATTGGATTAAGCCTCTGATAATCAGTTAGCATGGTTGAGTAAATCTATTTTGATCAATGGGTTACTCATTCATTCAAAAGAAATTTTAGTGAGAAATTCTTCTATGGTACTTTTTTTTTCCTGTTTAAATATCTTTTAAACAAAATGGTTATTGGAACTGTTGTTAGAATTTACCAAATTTATTAACCTACCATTCATTGAATACTTCTGCCATATCTGATCTGGTGTTCCTGCTGTATATCCCAAAATTATTCATAAAATTCAAAGAAGTGTTTGTAATGTAATCAATCCTGACCTGGCATCTCAACATCAGTCAACTTCTCACCAATGTAACATGACTTCCCTCTGTCTTTTCTACAAATATTTTCAGGGCAACTGTTCTGATGAGCTTTTTTTTTTTTTTTTTTTTTTTCAGTGCCTCGACTGCATGAATTTAAGCATGCTAATGGATTGGCAATTAGGTCTCACTGTTTTATTGTTGATAAACTAGCTAGATGCAACCACCAGTTCTATGCTAATAGTTTCTTTTCTCATCTGTGGAACTCCCTTTCAATTTCTTTCTTCTCTGTCACCTATAAATATTCAAAAATTAAAATGCACTGCCAATCACCATCTTCTGTCTTCATTTATTGTCTTTTCTTCATTTCTCTCTAATAAATTCTATTTCACTCGCTGTAAGCCCCTGCATTCTAGTGACATCATCACCTTGCTTGGGGTGAAATGATTATTAAAAAAAACAAAAAAAAAATAACTATATCTTGTTTATTGTTGGATTTTTATTTATAGCAACTCCAGAATAAGAATTGATTTTTATATTACTTATATTGTCTATTGCCTAAAAAATCAGCATATGTTTGTGCCCCCTTAAAAATCTCAGGAAGGCTTGCTTCTCCAAAGACTTAGAGATGTGAGATGGTATAAGCAAGTTCCTGGACTAGGATCTCCTGGCAAACTCCATAATTGATTCCAATCGCATGAGAGTTAATGGATTGTTTGGCAATGGTCCTAATAGATGAGTTCACAAATCTTTCTGCATTTACTGGCATTTTGCTGATTATTGGTCACCTAATCTTGAACTGATATTTGACCAGCTTTGAAATGTACATAGCACTCAAAATGTTTATTAGAAACCTGATAAAACATTTTGAGGATCTTTGTAGTAGATTTACCAAGCTTCATACAGAATTTAGTGCAGGTGCATTGTTCAAATTTGACTGTCATAAAAATTGCTGAGCCATTTCAACACAATATTATAAAACCTCTTATAATAACTGGACTACAGTAGCTAACATGGGGCCTATTGGCAGACTAACTCAGTAAGCTGGATACCAATGAATATTAGCTGCATGTACATTTCCCGTGAATGGTATGAGTATAATCACAGCATATACTGTCTGGTATCTTTTTGATACAACCTCATATATATTTATGGCAGCATTTTATCAGGTTAAAAATAAATCTATTTAGAACAAATGTTCATTTAAAAGTCTGAACTATTTTGATTGTATAAATGTTGGACAATATTGCTATTATTTTAATAAATTTATTTCTGTAAATTTTCTCTTGCAGGTTCATGTCATTGAAGTTAAAAATCTTCGTTCCCTTGCTCCTAATAAAATAGTTTACTGCACCATGGAGGTTGAAGGTGGAGAAAAACTTCAGACCGATCAAGCAGAAGCTTCAAAACCATGGTGAGTACATTAGCTCTATAGCTTTATCAGCAGGGGCATTGCAGTCTCAGAAGACCACTGATTTTCCATGTTTAAGAGTCAAACTCATGTGAAGGACTGCACAGAAGCAGACATGGCTACAGATATTGCATGTATTGTTCTGTATATAGTGGAATTGGCAAACAAAATTCAAATTCGGATCTAGTCTGTTGCTTTCACTTTTGTGCAAATGCCTTTGGAAAAGGCATGTATCTCTTCCGAAAGATTGTGTTAAATAGCAGAGAGGACTGGGCTTTCCATTTTTAGGTGACAACTAGTCTAAAAAAAAAAAAAAAAAAAAAAAAGGAAAAATCTGAATTCCAATCCATGGAGAAGGAAATTCATAGATAACTAAAAAAAAATCAGAAGTCATGATTGTCTACATTCTTGAAGGAACATGGCATTAAAAAAAATCTCTTGAATCACGTTAAGGGTAAACTTAAAAATACTTCAATTAGTAATTTGGTGTAAATATATAAATTACACTTAAATTAAAAGATATTTCTTTTTTGCACAATTTTACTTCAAATACATCTTACTCAATTAGTATAGGACAGTAATTTGGATAGAAATTTGATTAATTTCTGGAATACGGCATAAATTAACATATGTAACTATGCTTAATTTTTTACCCCACTTGCTTAAGACACATTGATGTCAGTAATGGACTAATTTAAAATTTAGTCAAATTTGTGTATAGTTCCTTGTAAACGAGTTGCTCATAAAAAAATATATTAATTTTTGACTAGTACTTTTTTTATTATTATGTTATTTTTTTGATAGAACTAAAATTCAATAGTTAACATATTTAGTAAATATCCTTGCTTATCTCTCCCACGTACTTTCTTTATATTTAGTTAAATTTAAGCACAGCTGATTATAAAGGAGTTGCTTATGGGGTGGGGAAGAAAGAAAAATTGTGTATTGATCAATAACAACATAAAGGCACACAGTTTTGACAGTTGACCTTTTGCTGATACCAAATAACATATTCTCCATGCTTAATATCACTTACCTCACAGGGTATAGATGATCATGGCTCTGCACATACTCCTTTTCTTTTATTATCTATGAATTGTTATAATTTTTCTTGGGAAAGATAGTGTTGTAGTTTCCTGTCACATTCTCTATAATTTTGAATTTATAGTTATCTTTTCTTTTAGACTGCCATCTAAAGCTAGAGAGCTCAGTTTATCCTACTATTTAACCCATAGCTGGGGAGAAAAGCCACAATCATAAAGAAAGAGTAGCTATTGAGTTATAATGAATAATAATGAGCTATAATGAATAAAAAAATAAACAATTAGAAGTTGAATGAATACAGCAGAAGCGGCAGGGTTATGGTCATATCACGTTGAAATACCAGTTCTCATATGATCACTGAAACTAAGCAACATTGAGCTTGGTCAGGTACCTAGATGGGTAACTGCTTGAGAATACCAGGTGCTGTAAGCTTGGATGGGCAAGTAGTGTAATGGATAAAAACTTGGAAATTGGAGAGCCGAGTTCCAATTCCTGTTAGATTCATTATATTCCCTTATGTGCAAATATCCTTGGGGAAGTTATAAATCCACCTCTTTTCTACCAAACTATAGGTTAATTTACTAGGATTTGTATCCGTAAATCACTATCTCAAAAAAAAATTCTTAGAATGTAAAATATTTTCTGGGTTTAAATAATCTGAAATGGTTGATAAACTGTAAAAAAATATATATATATATATATATATAGTTTTTTTTATGACAATTTACAGGACATAGATAATCATAGTTCTCCAAAGACAGTTTGGCCAATTCAGATTTCCTTACTTAATAACAAACATTTCTAAAAGGAAAATTATAGCATTGATTACTTCCGAGGTCTGATGAAAAAGTATCGGTTCTAGTATTATGAAAAGAAAACTACAATACATATCAAATTGGCATTTAATCACCTTTGAAGTAGTCCCCTTCTGAAGCCACACACTTTATCTAGTGTCATTTCCATTGATGGAAGCATTCTTGGAACTCCTTTTTTGCAATAGCAAGCAGCTACCTCTTAACATTCTCTTAAATTTTTTCAACATTTTGAAATCTTGTTCCTTTCAAGTGGGATTTGATTTTTGAAGAGGAAAATGTTGCAAGGGGTAAGATCTGGGGAATATAGTGGTTGTCAGACTTGGAGAATGTTGAACTTGGCCAAAAACTGCTGTACAAGCCATGATCACTGATTGTGGTGTGATGAGACAACTGCACTCTACACACCTTCCTTCCAATCACTGCTATAAACAATGGAACTGAACATGAACATTATAACTTAGTGTGTATGTGTGACAGAATTCAAGTTCTATCTGTGGCAAGCAGCTTCACTATGCATACTTGAGCTCCGTTCCTTTAGCAACAGTCCTGATACTTTTTGATCAGACCTTATATATATTGCTTGATATTGAATAGTTTTGTTTCCAATTAGTCCTGTTTTAGCATTCAAGATTTTTTTTTCCCATTCTTAGAAATTTTTTCTCTTAGATCAAGTACACTTCTGAGCTTCAATGGTCTGGTCTTTCAAATTAAGTACAAATACTGTAGGATGCTGTTCAGTAATTTTACCAAAGAACTATTTCCAGTCATTTAAAAAAAAAAAGAAGTCAAGCCACGAATGAACTAATGGATTCATTTTGTTAGATATTTGTCTATAATGCATTGACATTGACCTTTCATGATCTTCATTGTGCTTTTTAAATTTGACCAGTCTCCAATTGAAATAAAGCCAAATAAATGACTGCCAGCAAGTTTTAACATTCTTCAAGATTTCTACAAAATAAGTACTGAATTCTCTGTCTATGAAGTGACTTCAAAAGAATTTTGTCTCTCTCTTGACCATGGTGCCAGTTACTGACAACAAATAAATGTCCATGTTCTTTGCTAATTCTTCTGTTACCACTTCTTTGATAGATGTTCTTTAACTTTTACATTAGTTTTCTTCGAGAACTTAAAAATTGAATACTTGCCTTTCCTTTTATCATTCAATTAGGATATTGTTTCCTTTTGATCTTAAATACCATTTTCTGATAGGACATAGGTGTCCATGGCTCTCCACAGAATCGTTTTTTCTTTATTATCTGTGAATTGTCAGGATTGGGTGGTGAAATGGATAGCAGCACGCCATGAGAGATTGGAGAGCCAAGATTGAATTTCAGCCAAGGTTGTTGCATTCACTTAGACATAAATACCCAAGGGAAAGGTATGAATCCATCTCTTCTCCCCATCTATGGGTTGAATATAATAGGACATATATGGAAAAGTTATTGTTATCTCCTAAAAAATTGTTAATGCAATATTTGCCTGCAAAAAAGAAAAAAAAAATATTCTTACAATCCAGAATGTTTTGGCTTTAAGGGATGATAAACCATAAAAAAAATCATTCAATGTAAATTACCATTGTTCTTGAGAAAGATAGTGAAGTGATTTCCTGTTGTCTTGTCTTTATGGTTTTAAATTCATAGTTGTCTTTCTCCTAGACTGGCCACGAGAAATCCCAGCCTAGCCTACTATCTAACCCATACCTAGGGAGAAAATAGATTGATTCATGCTTTTTCCAAAGTCATTAGTGTGATATGAATGCAAGCCAAAATTTGAAATTTACTTGCCATTAACAATTTTCACATGGATAGCCATTATAATACCTGTACATTTCTTTCCTTGTTTGTTAAAAATGCTCGCTTGAAGATATTCCTGTTTTATCTAAAAATGATTGTTGTGATTTATTAAATTGTATTTATTGGTATTCACAATACACTTAGTACATCTACTAACATGATGTTGATTACTACTGCTATTGCTACTTCATGTAAAGATTTTTATATTCCCCTTTTTTGCATACATGAATCTGATCTGACACATGCTCTACTGACCCTCTCCTCTCTCCAAATTGCCTTCCTCACTCATACAAATATATTATTACATATCTTTTAAATGTAGGGGGTTTATGCCCCTTGTAAATATTGTACTTTTTATCAACATTTTTGTTTTGGGTATTTCTTTGATTTCCTACTCACCCTCTCTCATAAGATCATGATATGTTTCTTTCTCTAGAAGATTCCAATCTTAATATTATACTCTGCTCCAAACTAGATCTTTTCTGATTCATTCCACATCAAAACCTGTTGGCTGGATGTGAATGCTAAGAAAACAAAAAAAATGTCACTCTGCACAGGGGCTCTGAGTGTCACATCTGGCTCACAAAACAAATCCCATAAAAAAAATTACTTATAAAATACAATATAAAAGGAGCCAATCACAAATGTTGCCACTAAATTAAAAACATGATAAAAAATGATGAGTCATGATCCATCCCATTTGCTTTTAAAAACACCACTCATGACACTGTAAGCAGTCATGACAAACAAGCAAGCTGGCAATGTCACCTTCAGTGACCATGGCCTACTGACCTAATACCTACATCAACCAGGCTTTACCAACTCTCGTCTTCTTCCAAGTCACTTTCCTCACCCACAAAGAGACATTTCTCCTTGATCCTAATACAAAGAATTTTATCTTAACAATATTTATCTTTTCTTTTCACCTCAATGGTGGTACTTGTTTAGTTTGTTCTTATATTACCATACACATGTTTATAACATTGCTAAAACCTATACTGTACTCAGGATATTCTTCATCTGCTTCTTTGTTGGATGTTTCAGTGTAGAGTGAGTGGCCATGGCCAAATGTAAAATGAATTACAGAAATGACCAACAAACAGAATTGACAAAGTTTGCAACAAAAAGAAAAGAACAGGGCAAAAAATAATATAAAGCAAGCAAACTGACAGTAAAAAGTCAAGAAGTTCATAAATTAAGAATTGAAGTTGATACACGAGAGCAAGTTTGGATAAGTGAATGTAGCGTTCTGACTTCAAAACAAGACAGATCGGGACTGAGTCATATGAAACTGTTTTATTGGCTAGGCAGAAATCCCAGCATAAATGTGTGATTCTACCTATAAATTGTGGCAGGAAAGTTTTTCAGTCATTCTTAAAGTTTGGAACCAACATTTAGAATCCTCTTTTCCCTGTTGATCATTCACAAACATGTCTTCATTTGTTTCATTGTTGTTTTGCAATATCATCACCTGGATGGAAAGCTTTCTGTCCTCCTTCTCATATTCTTCTTGGAGCCTTATTTTATCTGTATGGGCTACTAGGCTGTCTTTATTTTTGGTTATTATGACAGTGTTGTTGCCTCTTTGCATTGTAAAATTGTCCCTTTCTGTATTGGATTCTTAATTCTTTTTATAATGCAAGTAATATCTTTACTCTTTGTTGTTTTTTTGTTAATTGTTCATATGTTTGTTTCATGTTGCCATGATTTATAGTTTCTTCTTTTCCATCTTATAAAAATATTTTTCTTGCCTTCTTTTTTTCCCCATTTTTTTCTGTTCTTCATTTAATTCAATTCATTCACTTTTTAATACCAAAATTTTCTTTTTCCCTGCCATTCCTCAATGTTACCTTACTTTTATTTTTCTGTTTTCATATTTCTGCTGATAGCATTTCAAAATTAAAACCAGACAGCTTTTTACTTACACTTTCTCTGGTATATGAAGGCTCGTAGTTAACATACAATAGTTCAAGACAAGTAAATTCTAATTGTGTGATTCTATTAGACAGTATCATTGAATGAATGAAAAATTTACCCCCTTTTCTTGTCCTTCTCACCAAAGGAAAAAAATTCAAATCCATTTTTATTTAGCTTTGTACATGCTATTTGAAAGCACTGTGTTCTTTATTTTTTGTCCCTCATGGTCATGAAGAAATTTGCTTCTGCTCCATTGCTGGATTATAGAAAATGCTTTACTTTAAGCTTGACTATGAATCACTTATACTATTGACTAATCCATTATTGTTAGTAAATCATTATTTTTTTTTTATTTTAATTTCCTTTTTCACCTACAAAAAATTAGAATTAAATAAAGAAATGAAAAATAAAAAATAAAAGTACACATCATTTTCTTTTTTTTTGTAAGCACAATATTTTTTCAAAATCTTTTACTGAGGAATACTGCTATGCAATGAAAGCACATTTTGTTACAAAAGAAAGTTTTATATATTTTATATATATATATATATATATATATATGAGGGCTTGCTGATGAGTTTTCAACTTTAAAAAGAAAGGATTGTTCAGAAAATTCTGATGTTTAATCCTTTGGTTAGATTTTAAGAAATAAGCTTAACTAATACTTTTCAGTAACCTCTCATACATACACACAGACACACAAAAAACACACACATTCAAACATATATTGTTAAATATAACAGGCAACAAATGTCTATTATATTTGATCATGAGCCATTCTAAATTTCATATGGTTGCTTTAATTAATAAAATAAAGACAAAAATTGTCCAACATTTGGATATCTTTTGCTGTTGCTTGATCTAAGCTTTCGGCTCACATGAGCCATCTTCAAACAAAGATA